CGCCAAGCTAATGAGCCAATTTTGTAAATTATGCTAATATAAATACAAACCATATGAGTGAATTTATGATTTCGTGTAACTGATTATGAATTTATAATATGAACTGAATCAACATAGTCCATGAAAATGTTATTTACAATCTCTGAATCTTCATGATATGGAATTAAAAAACGAAGTGGTACAATAAATTGATTCATGTACAGTCATATTATAGGTGAATAAAATATGAATGTCATATAACTACATTCGATATTCCTTAAAGTAAGAACCACTACCAATGAAGATAGGACAGATTCATAATTAGAAAATCAAAATGTTTGTCCAAGGTTGGAGAACGATATGAACCTCAATTCTCTAGAAATATTACATCGGGATATCGAGTTTCAAAAGTGTAACCGTATAACTGTGGTTGTCAATCTATTCAATATGTTTGTGTTGAGCTACTTTGGTAGTTTTTGAATAAAAGTGAGCTACATACTGAAAGCGACGAAAGACAACCTGAATGAAATGATTTAAATGAAACATACTATTTTTAAACATAATATACTGGGTTTTCATTTCAAAACAAACCACCCTTTAGGGAAAGAAACACTGGCATTAGTATTCGTTTATAGGCATCAATGCATAGAAATATGTAATTCAATGTTTTGCTTGGCATTAGCCAGGAAAGGAGTTGTTTTCCTCCCGTCATCTATCATTGTTGTTCATTTTATGAACATATGTGGAAAGGACTTTGAGCTTCTTGTATTTATTTAATCTTTCATTCCACTTTGTGCTTGTGGCTATTTTGAAGTTGAAATTACGACAGTCGCCAATCATTCACTCCCACTTTTAGGTATTTTAGTTTTGTGGAGTGTTTCTTTCCTTCTATATAGTCTAGATCGCGTTGAACCTGTGTGGCAGACCTGTGCCCACAGGAGATTCCACTGAGACCATGAATATTGCCGATTGGAATTTGTTGGGCCAGGTTACGCTTAGCCGGCGGTTTTTGAACTGCTGACTGGAGACTACCCTGCACTGATGAGAGCAGAAAAAGCTCGAAACCGGTATGTAGGTGTCGTAGCGTTAACCTCGCTAGATCGAATAAATCAATCGACATTGCGGAAAGAAACACTTGCATCAGTAATCGTTTATACGTATCCATGCACAGATTTCGAGAGGATTATGTAATTCGATATTTTGCGTGGCATTAGCCAGGAAAGTAGTTGTTTTTCTCCCATCAACCATTGTACTAATTTTTTGAATATTTGTGGAAATGAATTTGAGCTTTTTGTATTCATTTCACCCTGTATTCTGATCTGCGGTGATAACATTTTTGGAAGAAAATAGATCGATTTAGATAATGACGGTTATATAAAATACTAGTATCGGCTGAATTTCATGTACCTATCTCAAGACAGGGCGTACCATTCGAAATTTCATAGTGGGGTTGTGAGGGAAACATAGCATTCCATCGATAATAGTATTCAACTTCCCACACGATATAAAAATTGACCTATTTTTCCGAAAATTGTAACCACCGCAGATCAGAAGATATGCTGGGTGGTAAGTTCTCAAATAAAAGCCCTGTATATTGAGATGCTGATGATAGTGATCGTCAAGTTGGCGACCACTTCCTAAGAAATTTATCAGATAAGGGATGAAAATTCGATCCAAGTAAACTAGTTGATCCTTTTCCTATCTCATGAATTATTCATAACGAAAAATCAACTGAATGTCACTCCTTTGAACCTCATCTACTTTGGTTGTCACAGAGCTTGATGACATCAAATATCTGGGTTATCATCTAAATACAGAATAGTGTTTTTCATTGAGCGCTGGTAATTTTTGAAACTGAATAAAATAAGTTCTGTGTGAGGTCTCAACTGTATTTGTTAATTTCAATTCAGTATGAATGATATCATGTATGGAATATGAAATCGTTCAAATGGCTGTTGGGTAGGATGCATCCGAGAGGTTCAATTCTCGATGTCTCTGGCGCATAGATCAGACTGAACTTAAGGTTTCTGTCTGTGCTTATATGCTGACTTTGAGGATAACGGCCATCTGCATGTCCTATTGGCATAGACCTGCGACTTGAGAAACCCCCACAGGAGGTCCAACGGGGTCAAATCGTATGATCTCGGTGGCCAACAGTTCACGTTACCTCTGCTCAAACGGCTTGTGCAGATTTTTCATTGTGGCACTAACATTGTGCACATAACGCCGTTCTGATGAAACCCCATATTGTTCACAACTATATCATCCATCTTGGACCACAAGAAATTGTTTAGTAGCACTCTCCAAATTCAGACTGAATCTATGCGCCACCCAGCAAAACCGTGGTGACCATTTGAATCATGCTTTATTTCTCATAGAATGTCATCGATAGACCGATCATATGGAGAAAAATAGTTGATATCTCACCACAACTTGGTTCATAAAATTTTAAAATTTATACGAAAACTTTTTATATGGAGTCGTAAGAACATCAGAACATTGAATAAGTACGTTTTTATTTGAAATTGAACTCTGCTTCATCATGATCGATATATTTCGAGGGCATATAATATCCAAATTTAAAAAAAAAAGATTGTGCATAACGTAAGCTTAAGTATAATGGCAGACATTTTGACCGATATCATATAAGAAATTATTTATACGTTTCTGATGCAGATTATTGAAATTTCACTCAATTCTTTACTGCTTGTAGGAAATTCAGTGTAATATATGGTTGAACTGAATTTCGGGTATTAACATCTTTGTGGCAATGGAAAATTCTACACTTCATATTTTCTTGTTTGACCTCGAATAAATACGCCAATGAAAGCAAAAAACTATGGAAATAATTGGACTAGCAAACCCCATTACAAAAAGTACTATCTGGGACATTTAGGTGTATCAAATTACATATTACGCACCATCTGGAGAAAATTGTAAGAGAAATGGCAAATAACTCCTCATTCCTCATTTACAGTGAAGAAGAAATAAATGAACCAGATTTTTATGTATTGTTCGAGTATTGTAGATTGTATCATGCCGTTTGCTTACACTTAATGAGAAGGCGTCAGTTCAAATTTGACGGACAGAGATCATCACTATAAATAGAGGAGCCTGAAGGAACTCCTCAGTAGGCTATGGAGAGAGGACCAATAATGGGTAAAAAATGCTGATTCTCTGAGGTAGAGGAAGATACGTCTCTCTAATTCCTTTCAGGATTCACTGCTTTGCAAATGCAAAACCTATATAAGAGCACAAATCTCAGGAAAGTATCAAATACCACATGGAGATTTATCGGAACTGATGCTGTCCCAAATCACCAGTTTTTTTATAAAACTAGGCTAGAGGAATTGTTATCACTGAGACTGATGATTGATACAATGAATTGCTCAGGTCGTAGTACACTGATCCCTCCATTACAAGGAATGAAGTGGAGAGGTCAGAAATTGTTCAAATGACCGTCCTGACTCTAGATGAAGTTCTGACACATATAGAGATTGACGATAGTCTGAAGGCTGAAGTACAATAGTCATAACTTTAGAATACACTTTCTACGATGAATCAAGTGTAGGTTCAGTATCTCATGAAGGTAATACCTCTACAGTTTGGTCCCATCATCAGTTATTCAATGGAAATTGGCCATATTTATTTCAAAGAAGCATGTAAGCAAATGAACATATTGTTACTATCATTGTCGTCCTTTTTATATATGAAATATAGAGTAAAAAAATATATATCTCACCATATGATAGAGTTAATTTGAGTTCTGAATTATAATCATACGTGACCAGAACATTATTTTTTTCGAATTCTTGGTTAGGAATATGCAGGTAAGCTATAATTTCAAAAGCAAGCAGGATTCCTATGGAATGAAACATGATTATTTCAATACTGAATTCTCATGTTGTAGGATTTTGTGGTAACAACCAAATGATGAAAATTAATCAATTGCAATATATCAGAATCATGGTCAGTTATCTGAAATTCAATTTTATCCACCATAAAATTTCACGAACTATTTACAAAAAATTCATATGGCGTTTACACCGTTTGGAACACACTCAAGTAGTTATGGCAATTCTATAATGTTTTTTGTTCACCATTTTAGATGACACACACAAATCACTATTATAGTCATCGCAGCTTGTAGAGGGCATAATGAACTCATTCTTGTTGCAGAGTTCCAAAATGAACCCGATGAGGCTGTAGAGAATATAGGTATTCAAAGAGGTAAAATTTGAACACACTACTTCAACTAATTACCAAATATAATTTAGAGTGGATAAAAGATATCTCAACTGAATTTGAAGCGCTAGAAATTGAATTTAAGACATGATTGACTCTTGACGGAATTCGCATCAATATTTGATAATTATTTGACCTCAAATCAAAAATAAGTAATATATTTCACCTGTTAAAATGTTAGAATGTTATCTACTGGTAATTCTATTCTAAGGAAACAAAAAAAACGTAAAGGGAATTATAGCAAATTGTTCCTTTTATTTCATAAACAATATAATAATAAATTCATTATATATGAAAGTATAAAGAAAAAGAATGTCATTATTTGTATCAAAGAATATTCAATAATGAATAAATAACATGAATTTGAAAAAATTATCAACAGATTTGGAAATAAAATCACAATAATCGTCATTGGTATTCAGTTCTTTCAACTTTTCGTTTTAGTACAAAAATAAAATTTCTTCCTTGGTCATGAAACAAAATCAATTACTATAATTGTTGGTATGTGTGATTACAAAAATATTTTTTGGCTCTACAAAATTTTTGAAAAATGTTGCTTGCCTTCAATCAGAGACTATGTAGAGATAGAAATTGTTATTATTTATATAACCAGTTCGCGACATTCACATTTTTGATTTCAATTTTTGTAATCACCCATAACATTAAGGTTTAAACAAAAGATCTAACAACGAAAAAGAAAATTAAAACAATATCCAATTTCACAAAACAACTAGAACTCGTGTAGGTATTGTAAGTATAATATTGCTGATTCTCACCTCGTGCTGTCCTAACTTTAATTTGAGCCGGCAAACTGTCTCCTATAGCATTTCGAGCACGCAGTTCGATCTTGTAGATTGTGTCAGGATGTAAGTTTCCTAGTTGGTAATGAGTGTATTGAACGGATTGTTGATCTTGTTCGCTGCAGTCCCTGTCATGCCATTCACCACTTATTTTTTCGGTCTGGAATATAAAATATCGATCAATTTCTATTTGAGGTACAATTATTATTTTTTCATTTATCTATTTCAGTTAATGCATTACATTTTCTTCTTCATTGATACATTTCATACAAATAATATATAAAGTATAATTAATTTTCTAGTACGAATAACATGAATGATCAGACAGTAATTCCTGCTATAAGATCATTCATGAAATATTATCGACTGTTGTAAAATTGAAATTACAAATAGTGAACAAAACTTACATATCATTGAGAGATCTCAAAATAACAGTCATATTATAGTGAACAAGAAGGGAAAAAACAGTAAAAAAAAAATTTATAGTCTTCCAGCTTTGATCATTCCTTTGCATAGAAATATATTTCTTCACTTTATCTTTGAATTGTATGATATTTGGGCTGTTTTTGATATCATCTGGTAATCTATTGAATTTCGAAATCGCCTCATGTGTAAACTTTTTTTGTCCGAGTTTAGAATTTGCAGCTTCAAGATGAAACAAGATATATTGTCTAGTGTGATGATATGATCTCACTTGAATGCCACCCATAGAAAATCAATCGTTCCATTAGCTTTGAAATTTGATATCTTGGTATGTCTAATGAAATATTCCGAAATAATTTAACATTGTACTTCTTGATAATCGAGAAATTTGTCAGGCGTTTTATGTATTACGGAAGTTGATAATCATAAATATATGTGTTGAGTCACATTGAAGAGAAAAAATCATGAATAATAATTTTTAAACTTGATAGCTGAAAAATTCGAATGATAATCTCTGAAAGGATTGTTTGAGTGACACTATGCCTAGACTATGCTGATTCATCTTATAGTATACGAGGTGACACAGACTCATATGGTATACCTCCTGTTCTCTTCTGTTTTTCTAGCTATATTTCTGAAATTTGGATAAACAAATATGCTCACTAGACGGCACTATCCCAAATTTCAGGATTTTTTAGTAATTTCCGGTTTTCCTGGAAATGACATCAACTTTCGATTCTCAAATAGAGCACCCTGTATTTTATTCCATAATTGTTTATATATTATCATAAAGAATTCAACCATACCGGATTTGATTGAGTTATTTCAAACGATTATGGAGATATTTGCGTTCGAAGTTTCCATATGATCAATGAGTATGACAGAGATAGAAGTTTCGATATTGCGCCGTCACACCCATTGATCATATGGAAACTTCGATCGCAAATATCTCCGAAATCGCTGGAAATAATTAGGGTTTGCAATCCCGGAGTAATAATACAATCCCGGGATTCCGGGATCGAATTGATACGAACCCGGGATTCCGGGATCTAATTGATACGAACCCGGGATCCCGGGTATTTCGGTATCGGGATTAGAATTTGAAAAAAGCATGGGGAATACTGTAGATACGAAATGTGTTGACTGAACCAGGAGCGTACAAAAATCCACTTCTAAAGGGTATTATGAGAGTCGACTGCAGATTTTTGTGCAAATGGTACCACTGCGGGAAATACTCTTTCATATTCTACACTAGTGCGTGGTATAGTTTTTAGAAAATATGTACCTTTGTTTTCACCATTTCAGAAAATAATTTCCTTTGTTAAATTTGATATCTTATTGTGTAGAGATTGAGTCAGTGACGGACTCGGTGACGCTTGACTCGCGAAAGGAATACTATCTTCCTCATCATCTTGTTGATCAATTATTGCCTCTGAAACTATTAAGAAACGTTTTATATGACTCACGAGTATCTCCATAATAACTTTTTTTCAGGAACTTCGAATAATAATAATCTGATTCAGTTTGACGCGAGTGAAGTCTTATTGGTCAAAACTAATCCCGAAAATCCCGGGATCTAATCGGATGTGATCCCGGGATTCTCGGTATGAAAATATCTCCCGGGCCCCGGGATTTCCGGTATTGGTATTTCGGGATTGCAAACCCTAGAAATAACCCAATCAAACCTGGTATCAATGAATTCGTTGACCAATTATGAAATGAAATATAGGGTGTTCCATTCGAAAATCGAAAGTTGATGTCATTTCCATGAAAGCCGGAATATAAAAAAAAATTAAAATGTGAGAAAGAGCCCTCTAGCGAGCATTTTCGATGTTCCAAATTCCAGAAATATAACTTGAAAAAACAAAGGATAAAAGAGGGGTATATCATGAGCCTGTGTCACCCGGTATAGTAGTAGTATATTATGTAAATACTTTGGTATGTATGTATGTACGTACATACCAATAACTTGGCCATCGACCTTACGAGAGGTCCTTCAGCCTATGTGTGTTCTGTGTAGGCTTTGTTACTAACTCCACACGCCAAATTAGGAGCAGCACTGTTAATTGGAACACAAAAGGTAATCGTGCGGAATCATCTACAGCCAAGGCTACGCAAATTATAATTTGTAGCTTGTTTTATAAATAAAAATTCTCTGCTCTGCCGGGGATCGAATCTAGCAACCATTCGGTGATCTGATTGCTAGTCAAGCGCTCAACCACTGCGCTATTTCGCCGTCTCTCATCTTATGATAATTAATACATATGTTGTTGCTATGATCCTCACATTATGTACTATCTGATTTTCTTATTTTTCAATCATTTGAGCACGGCGTGTTGTTTATGCCTCTGGACTCTTATTCATGCAACGATCCCCTCATATGTACCATATGAGGTTATCGTTATAATTGCTGATTGACTTTTTTTATCTCTTACAGCGCACGAAAGGAAATTCCAAGGGAAATTTCTATGAACAATATAATATCCCATTGTATTGAAGATAAAGGTGTCATTTCATATTCAACTAAGGTATGTTGAGTTAAACCCAAAATTTTTTGACTATTATCAAAAGTTGGCTTCAAGTAAACTTTGCGGTGCTATGAACCTGCTCATTTATTTGAAGAATTGGAGAAAATCTATTTGGAAATAATAATGAATGTAACATTTTTTATCCTCAAAGATAAGCTTATTTATATGTGTGACTATAATAATACTAATTCTAATAATGATGAATGTTCAAGCAATTTGCCTCAATTTACCGAATGCTTTACACAAATAATTGAATGGAGAACGTATCTATTCACAAAAAACGTGAAAGCTACTTTGGCTTTAGTCTCTGACGCGAAGTTGAGATTGAATTCTAATCAATAATAAAGAACAAAAAAATATTCTTGTGACTATATCTGTAGATACAGGATGATTCTTCAAGAATGGGCAATCTCTGAACGACAGATGACCAAAATATGAAGATTTGGCCTAACATGACTGATGAGAATGTTGCTGGTTTAGGAGATACAGGGTGTTCAAGGGAAAGATTTTATTTATAAATTTCTCAATATCTTTGTGAGTTTCAAATGCATATGAACATGACATTTTGTAGTTTTGGGTTATATGACATGAGAAATACGAATTTGTAACTTTGCTATGTTACTTCCTTGAATTACATCATATCTTTTTTGTCCATTGAGTTATGGTCTGAAAGCCCGTTCAAATTAACATAAAAAATGTACTACCTATCTTTTGAATTATTTTTTGCGTTATTTGCTCTTGAAAAGATTTGTGTACCACTTTATATAGGTTGTGTGAGACAAAAAACCGTGAGCTGAAATCTAATATTTTTCTCGTGTATAATACACTATTTTTTTCTGTTACAGAAGAAAGGACGAATCAATATTGAGAAGATATTACATTATTTTGAAATCTGAAATGCCAAACTTTTTTCCCGTCACAGAAAAAACATTTTCTTTATTTCAAATTATAAAGTATGCGAAGTGACAGTGAAAAAAGGAAGTAATCAATAATGACAATCACTGATAACGTCAACAAAAAATAAAATTTCAAAGTATATTTTCGACCAAAGTTATGGAGACATTTGAAATAAAATTTGTTCCTTGAACACACTGTATCTGCCTGCGTGTTGGGGAACATTTTTATATTTCGGTGTATACTATCTTCAGTTCAGAGATTGCCTATTTTTAATGAGTCACCCTGTATATAGCAATGAGTTGATTACCTCATTTGGGCTATATTTTTCATGAATGTTCATAAATTCCTTCGGAAAAGTCGCATATTCAGGAGGTAGCCTATTGGCTTGCCAATAAATTCCTTCATAATAAAACATTTCCCAACAATTCCATGACCATCCAAAGAATCGCTATTCAATAGTATTGCCCCACACTTACCACACAATATCTGACTAAATAGAATTGGATTGGTTCTCCATTATCATTTGGAACGCCCCACCTCAATTCAAAGTGGTCAGCATATGGACTCAGCGCAATCATATCTTCTCTATTGCTGTTATTCTCGTCTTTAACCCTGTGAGATTCCATCAAAATTTTCGGTTCGGCAGGAACCGATCTACGAGGCATAGTCACTGATCCTGCATTCTGGAAAGCTCCCATTCCCACGTCATTTCTAGCTGCGAACTGGAAGTGGTATGTTTCTTCTGGTGTCAGGTTTTCCAGTATGTATGGGGCACCTAGGCAGAATATCAGAAAGTGTTGTTCAATAAATACTGAAAACCCCAAATACATGTGGATTGAAAATATATATCACTAACTGATCGATGAAATATAGCATAATCTTGACGCTTGTGCCTGCAATATTGAACAATTACGGTATTATGAAGAAAAAATGAAAAAAAAATATCACGAGAATAAGCTCAAATACTTGGAAAAATGGTTACTAGCTGAAGTTATCTTTTGATGGAGCAGATGGACGGAAGGAAACATTTCCTTGTTCCGAAAATTAACAGAAACTCATAACCAGATAGTTTTAAACCCATCATACAGTTGCGTACCTAACACCCCCGCAACCCCCGCGGCGCGGGGGGTGCAATAGCTGGCCAATGGCGCAAGGAGAAACCAACTCCCGCCCCTGCTCTCTCGATGTGTTATCATCTAAGAAAATATCCAAAGAATATGATGTCAATTTAGATGAGGATATTGCCACTGAAATGGTGGTTTTCAAAAATATCTTGACAGAAAAATGCGTACCGTGCAAGATTCAACCATTAAACAAAATATCTCTTTATATTTTACATAACATTCAATTGAAATAGATACAGGGTGATCAGCATTCTGGATCTTGAATCAACCTGTATTCGTTCCGCTACGCTCGGCTATGAACTATTAGTCGCGGCAGTAAATTTCCTACTTTCCTGCCTAGTGAAACAAATAACTACCTATTTCGTGCTCAAACCTAGAAAACTACCTGCGAAGCACCAACTGCGTCTGGTTTGAGTACCTATATTGTGCATTGAACATGAAGTGACTGAGAGTCTGGACTTAGAAGGGATCATATCTAAATTAGGGGTCTAACTGTCTAGTTTTTCTTGTTCAGTCATGAAGAGGAAAATGTAACCTTTTTTTTTCATTACCTGAATCAGGCCAAATCACTAAAATTATAATAAATTATATAATAGTAGCAGAGCCAAAGGCACCAGAGGCCCAGTTTTTCGACGGAAGTCGAATTAAAAAGGATATTATCCTTCTAGCCATTTCAGGAAACAAGTACATAAACAATGGAAAGCAGACAAATATAAAAATACTCGAAAATGAAGGCAGTAACAACACCTCGCGGAGTTTCGCGGAAAATATGTTCCCTGGCTAATTTACACCCCAGCAAGCGAGCACTGTAAAGATTCCGTGAGTCGAGGTTCAGGTTTCGGCTAACTGAGGGCGTTAGCGGGTAAGTGAAGGGGTTGAATAATAGAATTGATAAACGTTCCTAGCTTAAATTTTCCAACTTTCAATTCGGACACAAAATGAATAATACGGATGGATCACCCTAGGTGGATTATTGAAAAATATCTTCCTAAAACTTGCTCATTTTCTGAATTTTTTCACAGTATGATATTTTTTCATCAGTAGGTGATTTCGGCAGAGCTGCGGGACTCTTGTGAAGGATGCCATACTCACGGGGCGATACAATGGACCCACACTAGCGGTCTAGCTGTCTGGACTTCGACAAGTCCCCCCGATGCTCACTCAACTCAACTCAGGTGATTTCGAAATTCCGTGTTTGAACTAGGAATACTGAGATACAAGGAATTTCATTTTCTTTGAGCTACGATTGGGAAACTCAGATTATGCAGTTGGAAATCCTGATGAGTTTCTACAGAGTAATTCATTTTCAGATTGAAAACCTGCATTTGGAAATTCCATTTTTGGAATTGAAATTTGACATTATCAACTCAAAATTTGGAATTCAATTGTTTCGATCTCAAGTTTGAATTTCCTTCTCACACGTCGAATAGTTAGAGTTTGCAGTAGGAATTTTCTAGTTTCAACTGGAAATGTAATTTCTCTTCATGTTCAAACTAGTGAATTTTGATTACAAAATCGAAATTTCATGTTTTTGGAGTTGGAGTTTTCTAGTTTGGAATAGGAAATTCCTAGTTCGAAGTAGGAAATCCGGCCTAGTTCAATTCCATTCAATTACTATCAATTTCACCAGCAGAATACATCTATTACCATCGACAGTTGAGATGATTCTTACAAAACAGGTTTCCTGATGTTTTTTTAGTGATACTATTCATGAAGAATGAAATGAGACACACTGTATAGTAACTTCCTAACCAAATTCGACCACTAACATTCATTTTTCCAATCCAAAAAAATTTCGGAAATAAAATTTCTCATCGATTGTTTCTTCACATTATATGATTCAGTATAAAAAAATGTAAATAAAAATAAATATTTTTCGAATATGATTTCCCATGTTCACTTATCATGGAAGGTATCACTTCAAAAACATTAATTCAGTCAATCTCTTTGTGGGGAGTTATCTTATCTTTCAATTCATTCAAGAGATATACAGAGAAGTGCAGAATAAACGACCAGTGATCTATCTTCTGACATCGAAATATCCTTATTTATTTCTATGGATACTTAGAACGGGAATATCTTCGTAATCATTTGAAATAACCCTATCAAACCTGGTATCGTTGAATTCGTTATGATAATCCTCAACCGATTATAGAATAAAATACAGGGTGTCCCATTCAAAAATTTGAAGTTGTGGTCGTTTCCGGTGAAAGCGAAAGTGAACGAACAAAATTTGTTTTGTCAAGAAAAGAGCAATTTGGTATACTCGCTACCCACCAATTTTCGAAATCCGATCAAATGGTTCAGAAGTTACAACCCTGGCCGTATTTTGTAAACTTCTCTGTATTTCGGTAGTAATGAAGGAAATCGCCAAGTATCATTTTGAAGAAAAACTTCTGCCTCCTAATTCGAGGACTGTTGAGTTATTCAGGACACCAGGTGGCTCACGGTCGATGGTACCTGAGACATTCACGGAGAACGGGACATAGAATCCTTTCGAAAATTTGGTTACTCAAGTAGTTGCTCTTGGTCAATCGATCTAAAATATCTTCAGCAATACAGAGTTGCTGCTTATAACAAAAAATAGTAGCAACTTTGATATTTCAACTGGAAGACCCTGTATTTCATTGCATGTTCAGATTCCCCCTGAAAAGCTGATTTCATCGATGCAACACACTTGGGGTCTAGCGGAAATGTTTACAGATATATAGGGTATTCAAAATCGAGATTTTTCAACATTAGGATTTTTTTGTGTCGAAATAACTATTCATTATCGGTCAAAACGGCTTTCATGTCCCTATCTCACCATCTACTGACATTCAATCAAAACAAATACAGGGTGGTTCAAGATTCAGAATTCTGATCGATCCCCCTGTATCTGTTCTAATTAAATGTCAGTAGATAGGTTCGAAAGCTAAGATAGGGACATGAAAGCCGTTCTGACCAATAAAGAATAGTTTCGGCAAAAAATCCTGGAGTTGAGAAATCTCGATCTCTGTTATCATTCCCGCTATACCTCAGATCTTCGGGGGAATCTTAAATACAATGAAATACAGAGTGTACTATTTGGAAGTTGATACTACTCTCTGGTATAAGCGACAACGCTGCATTGCTGAAGATATTTCAGATCGATAGACCAAGAGCAACTACTTGAATGATCATATGCCCCCATTTCCATAAACGTCTAAGGTACCATCGACTGTAACCCACCCTGTATAGTGTATATACCTGAGAGCGAACTCATACTTCAGTACATAATTATTCTGTATCAAAATCATGAATTATTACCAGACCAAATTAAAAGCTCATGACCGCTTGAACCAGATGTAACTGGCATCGTTATTTCACTAATGTTATCAACTATTAGTTCTGATTTTTATGATGTTGAGGTGTCACATTCTACTCAAATACATAAATAATAAGTGATTTATTATTTGCAAGATTCAAAATTAGTGAGAATATTAGACGATTATGCATTGGATTTTGATTTTAGGAAACATAAAGCAATAAATAGTAACTACTTCAAATGAGGCCTATCCCAAAGTGTTTACGCTATCTTGGTCATCATATTATTTTAGTCTGATACGCTGCAATGTTTGGTTCCTACTATAGCGACCAAAAGTATTTGGCTGAAATATAGTCGATAGTCAATAATCAAGATATGGCAAGACATATTGCTATCATATAACACTTGTTGACCAATGATTGAAATTCAAATATCTTTACTAACACTCACCATAACTCCATGTATGATTCCTGGCATAATCCCAAGACAGCTCTCTTTCTGGCTTATACTTCACAGTATAAGATCTCAGCGGCAATCCATCGAAATTATTAGCAGGAATGATACTGAACTTGATTGTGGTAGCCGTCTGATGCTCAGCCTTAGCTTGGGATACCGGTCCAGGTACAAAAGCTTGTTTCAACAACAATTTGATACTAGCATGACCCAGTTTGTTAGAGGCGAAGCATTCATACTGCGTGAACAGTCGTTTGTCATTGTAAGGTTTGACAATAAGGAAAGACGACGGGCCATTACCGATTTTCTGAAAGTTGGGACCGTCCTGGATTTCTATACCACCATATTTCCAGATAATCGTGGCGTTGGGTATAGCTTCGGGTAAGCAACTCAAGTTTCCAGGTTTGTTATCCCAACTCCAAACAGGTGGCAAGTCCTTGGTTCTTTCAAACGTGGGAGGAAACTCTATGGCGATATGCCCATTCTTGTATGCAGTCTCAGCAGTGTTATCAGCGATGCATTCATACAATCCATCATCGGTCCTGCTCAAATTGGATATGATGAGAGTCCCGTAGGATTCGCCTTTCTCCTGGAAGAACTGCTGCTCCAAAGTGATCCTCCTGTCATCAAGCTGTTGTCCTACTCTGAACGGTTCATGCCTGCTGAGTTTCCTGAAAACTATTCTGGGCGGAGGCCTGCCATAGGCTTTGCACACTATCTCAGCTTGGCCTCTGATAGGTGCAGTGATGTTGATCAGCTCGTAGATTTTAGGTTTGACTAAAACATTGATCTTGACGGTTGTTTCCACCCTGTCCACTGTATTTTCGGCGATGCATTTGTAGACCCCATCGTCGTTGAACTCGACTCGGTTCATGATGAGATCTCCGGTGTTCTTCTTCACGTCGAATCTGTCTGTGACTGACAGGTCTTGGCGGTCTTTGAGCTTGATCCATTGGTAAGTCGGTGGAGGTTTTCCGGTAGCAGAGCATTTCACAGAGGCGGTTTCACCTTCAATGATGGTGATGGTGTCCATCGGTTGGATTTTCGGTGGAACTTGAACTTCAACCTATTGGGATATTTAAAATATAATAACGGTCTTCGTAGGTCCTGGGTCTCATATGGTGGCACCAGAACAATTAAAATCCCAGAATTTCTATGTATACATATAATCTATTCAGGAATGCTTATTAGTGAAATGAATTAAATTGATCTCAGAATAAAATGAAACACATTTATGAATTTGTATTCGTATTTCATACATATACTCAAGATGTATATCAATCACACATTTCATATATGAACATAAACAAGAAATATGATTGTTTTGGCAAGCTTCTCATATTCCAGTGAACAATCACACCAAGCATTTGAATGACATTACACTCGCCATTATTTCCATATATATATACCACAAGTGATAATATTTTGCCGGAAATATTCGGTGATTGTTACGACAGCTTGTTGCCTAGTAATTTCGTGAATGACGACATTGTTATCGAAACTACGAGCCGTGGGCGAGTAGTTTTGGATCAATGTCATGAGCGAAATTAGAGCAGCAAGCTGGAGTATGTCAATCGACGAATATTTCCAGAAAAAATAGTATCACGAGTTGTATTCGTATGACTATTTCATGATTGAATGAGACAAAATATATATAAGAAATGGGAAACATAATTTAAGTATATTCCAACTCGAACTGCGAAGAAGAACATAATGATAGTGATAAAATACAGAATTTACTTTTTTAGAAATTAACTACCTACTTATAGTAGTTATTCACAAAGTGGAATGTACAATTTTGATAAACAGTATTTTTTATTATTTTGGAGATGGTTGATCTCAAAAGAGTGTTTACAATCGCTATTCAATTCAAACAAAATAAATTGAATTCATGTGATATGGAATAATTAAAAAAGAAAAGATATCGTCGCCGAGGGCTCGAACCATCGACCTTCGTATCCTCGCGCAACAACCCTAACAGTTGCGCTACATCAGCTAGTGATTATATTAGTCAGTCACAATAACTTGAGTGATTCAACAAAATTACTTCAAAAAGGAATTTGGATTCTATTATTGTTGTGTCAAATATGCAAACTTTTTAAATCACACATGAAACGTCCAGCCAGAATAAAATTGTGTCACCTTTCGTACAGAATATCTCACTTACGCGAATTATAAGTGAATAAAATAAAGTAGGAACTTGGGTTATTGTCTCAGATTTGAATCCAAAGCAATCTTGACCAGACAGGATGTCAAAATTTTATCGCTGATAAACGAGGTTTGTTGGTCACGTGTGGGTCAATTCGGTTTCTGTATTGGTAGAGCAAGTCCGATAAAATTTAATAAACAAAAAATATCGCTAGAATACAGAAGAAATCGTGAAAATGGTCGATTCTAATTGGTTCTCGAGATCAAGAGTGGAATAGTCAATGATATTCTCCGTTCTTCAATATTTGTCCTCCTCAATGATTGAAACTAGTTGTGCAATATGATTCTTCAGAATGAATTAAAGTTATCTCATTTTCCGACGGTATAAGTGAATTCTTGCATATTTGACATGCAGCGTTGTTCCGCTGATGTTTACTAAATAATATGAATAAATTACAAAACAATTCATATTCAGTTAATTTCCTTAAATAAACTGTGTCATTGATGAAGTACATCGTGAGTATACATATAAAGTGTTCAACGATGGAAAAACAAGGGTAAATACTTGTAATATATTATCTTTCGAGCATCTACATTCTACGGGGGCATTGAAAACCTTTCTTTTTCAAATTGGTCCCTTTCATTGCCACAACTTACATAATAAAGAAAATTGAGTTAGTTCAAAAAAATAAAAATTCAATGGATTTCCGTATAAAATTTTCTTTGGATTCAATTTCAGATTAGGAACAAGATATCGGGATGCGGTTTCCCCGAGCTTGTTCAGGCATCATTAAGCAACCTTTTCATGAAAAAAAAAAAAAAATAATACCGATGCATATGTTTTTTTCGAGAAAATCAACTATTTCTGTCGGAATATCGAAAAAATCCGTCTAGCGGCGACATGTGCAACTAACAAAACTTCAAATATCAAAGCATTTGTAGCCCAAGAATGGCTCTTTTTAACTAGCTCAAGTTTGTCAAAATCGGCTAAGCCGTTTCGAAGATACAGGTCGTTTTTTACAGGAACTTTCGGATACCCCCCACCACTTTATTTTTAGAGATTCAGTAGAAATTTTCGAACAAAAAAGGTTCAGATTTTCATCGACAATGAAAATCAGGTATTTTTTGTTAGGTTGATATGGCGGAATCTACCGAGAAATCACTTTTCAGATTCAAGATTGCAGTTACGCACCCTAGCGGTCATTTGAGAAACTTGAAAATTATTGCAGGTTTTTTCTCTCGGGCGTTTCAGTTCTTCATACAATTTTTTGCCGCAAGTCCCTACGATGGATAGTTTCCCAGATACAGAATCTCGTAGTCTTAGTTGGCCATCCTGTACTTACCTTGATGTTCCTCGTCTTGAATTGTCCCGTGGTAACTTCGATAGCCATACATTTGTAAACACCGTCGTCTGCTTCTGTGACGTTCTTGATGAGCAGTTGATCGGGTCCAACGACGTATTTCTTGCTGGTCGAGATGATTTCGCCGTTTTTGTTCCATTCGATGATCGGTGCAGGGTTGCCTTGCACTTTGCACTTGACAGCAAAGTCTTTGCCGACGACGGGATACTGGTTTTCAGGAGCGTCAATGAAGTTGATGTCAACTATAAAAACATGTTTCTTTCAGATTAGGAAATCCTGGAGACTGAATTAATTCTCATTATCACAAGCAGAGGCGGCGAGTGCATGGGAGCATCGGCTTCAATGCACCCATGCAGGCATTGGGTATAGGTGCAATGTACCCATAAAACGGACATCCAGGTCAAAACATAATTACGAAGTACTAATCTGATACACTCCACCAAATGGAATTCGCTATGAATCAGAGTGAATGTTCAGATTGGTCAGATATAGAACAGGACGTAGAATGTGCATATGAATTCATCTTTATATCCAGAATCGGCGTCCTATTATAGTAGATTGTTTCATTAGGATCAAAAGTGACACTTTGTTTGACAAGCGAATTTTGCTTTTGCGAGGCGGAGCGTCTAGTTTCAAGGATATTCGAATTGTAGTTACAATATAAGGTACTCTAATGGTAAATACCGCGCCGGAACAAGACGTGGAAAATGTTAGGTTAGTGAGCATATCAACAATAATAATAGCGATTATTTATTCCTCTCCATACTACACTATGTTTGACTTGATAATCGAATGTAGGTAAACAATATTGTTGTTTGCCGTGATTATACAAAAACAAGTTATCCATTCCGAGAATAACTAATGAAATACAGATCAAGCAAGTATTTGAATCTTGAAGGCTTCTCTGATCAAAACAAAAATACTCGACTGAGATGTTTATAATTTCAATACTTAACTATAATGAGGTGTATTTATATCTCCAGCATGGGTATAAAATGCCAAATTTGTCGAAATCGGAAACTACTAAAGTTCAACTTTAGCTCCTCCTTGCCTAACAACATACCTATTTTTGTGTCAGTAATAGAAACGTCAATTCAAGAGCTAATTTTGGTATCAAAATGGACGACTTTTGTGTCGGTTGCAGAAAAAGATTCATAAATATTCATTTTTCAAGATATCCAGTTTTTTATATCATGCACTTTCCTGAGTTTTTTATATGTTTTTGTTTCCAAACAAAATTTGCGAGGAAATTAATCGATATTTTTCTCACGTTTGTTCGTATTTTGGTTCTTATTAGCATCGGTTAACCTCAACTTCTGAACTAATCATTTCGACTCTCAATCTACAGTGTGTTCCGCTTTTCATGAATACACCATGATAGTTATTAATGATGCGAGTTTCTCCAAATTTTGGTAGTGATTGTATCGAGGATTGTATATTAGAGAAATGAGGTATTTGGCGTAGTGAGATTTTCATTTACCATTGGCGTGCAATGTTGGGTACAAATAAAAAGCCTTTTTTCGCGAAAAAGATATAAGGGCTTATTTTAGATAACTTTCTCTATCAGATTCAGAATCAGCATCATCAAAAACCCCACATTTCATATTTTTGAAATCTCAAGAGCTGAAAAAAAATTCAAAATCCCGCTTTTTAAGGCTACACCCTAAAATATCAGTTATTCGAAATTTTGATGGTGATTGTATGTTATGTACCTACTTGGCATAGTACAAATTTTCATTCACCATTGGCGTGCGGTCTTGGGGGGTGAAAAGCCTTTTATGGGGGATGGATATTAGGGCTTATTCGAGATGATTTTCTCTATCTGATTAAGAATGAGCATTCTCAAAAACCCCTCTGATCATATTTACAGAATCTCAAGAGTTGATTTCTGCAGAAGAAAATATATTTAGAAAACCCACTTTTTATGAATACATACCTATACACCCAATTATCCGAGTCTATAAGCACCCTGCAATATTCTATGGATATTCTGGCAACGTTCAAATATAATATTCTGAAAGAATGTTCTCAGAATGATCATTGAATATATTCATCCTGCAACAAATATCCTATGAACATTCAATTTCATATTTTCTCGGAAAAATCGAAAAAGGATAAACTCATTTCAGATTAAATTTTCTACTTACTATCATAACTCTTCGGTTTTGTGTTTTCAAATATTTTTTTTTGTTGAAATCAGCTCACGAGATTTTGAAAATATGAATTAGGGGATCTTCGGGAATGCCAATTCTAAATCTGATAGAGAGAGTTATCTTAAATAAGCCTTGATATCCTTTTCCCAAAAAATGGTTTTACTCTCCTCAACAACGCACGTCAATGGTGAATGGAAATGTTTACTATACCAAGTAGATGGGTACAATCACCATCAAAATTTCGAGAAAATAATAACTGAGATTTTAGAGTGCAGCCATAAAAAGCGCTAGATTTTGAATTTTTTCATTGCCAGAATTACCTCTTCAGATCTTGAAAATATAAATCGATAGGTTTTTGGAGATGCTGATTGTAAGAATTCATTTTTTCCTTGAACGAAACGCCTAGTATAAAAATTACATGATGGGTACCTAATTCTAAGGGAAACTGATTATTTCGATAACCTGAACAAAACTCGCAAAGGCGTGATTGTATCGTTTATATTAACACCATTAAGATAAAATGGGTATCGAGTGTCCCAGCATCATGGGAGAAATTGTATTCTCATTTTCATATAGTTCTTTGCCGAGTATGTTTAATGATATCTGCTCTTTCTCTTGAAATTATTGGTTACTTATAGTGATATACTTACTTATAGTTATTGTGACTTTTGGTGGTAGTGAATTATCGTTACACGAATCTGGTGAGCAGTCTACTCACGGGCAAAATAACTTATCTATGCACTTGCATTTTATTTGATTATTATTCAATTGTGTATATTTTATTGGTAACAATGAGGTATATAATATGTATCTGTCGTTCAGATGCTAGACACAGTCGTTCGTGTCGATTTTAGACGATGTCGTTCGGTGTCGCACCCATATTCCTGTCGTTCGCAATATTTGTGATTGTTATCATCAAAAATCACTAACATTGATATTCTTGATAATTTCAATAGCAGAAAATCAATGGATGAAGATTAAATGTTCACACAATAAGTCAGTTCGATTCATTAATTTGTTCAGACGAATTCTTTCGCTCAAGAAATGGTTTTTCTTCAATTTACAGGTAGATATCAAAAGATTCAACCAGAGACGGCCAACCTAGTTATAATCAGATGATTTCAATGATCGCTCAATTGATGTAAGTAGTTGATGAGTTCGTTGATTATATTATTTTATTCACAAAGAGTCTTTATCAATTATGATGAGGTCCTCACATGATTCAGGATCTGATAGAAAAAGTTATCCAATAGGAGCTCTAATATATCCTTTCCGCAAACAAAGGCATTTTTGTACCCCTCAACATCGCACGCCAATGGTGTACGAATCTGTTCATTGTGTCAAATACTTCATTGTTTTAACACTCGCTTACCACCAACATTTCAAGAAAATCGCATCATCAATAACTGAGATATTAGGGTGTTGTATTCATGAAAAGCGGGACACACTTATAGATACTTTTCTGGTATGTTTAATCGTTTCTACAGAATTTTTTCACGGCTCTCATGATGTTCATCCAAAAAGGTTATATCTATTCCAAAGGCCGAATAAGAATTTCCAATTAAAATTGTATTGCAAACACAGTAAAATGAATGTTCATTTACCCGAATTCGCGGACTTTGTGAGCACACTAGATATTCAGCCGTCATTGCCTGACTAAGGTAAACAACATAACTCTTCAGATGAAACAGGATGAGTATATTCAGTAATGGAAAGTGCCTATTTAATATTTAATCAGTGTTGGAATACCGAATAGCATGCGTATGCTTAACTTCTAGTGGAAACATTTCGAAATGTATAGTGGCACTTACTGTACACATTGAGTTCTATTGATGCAGTGAGTGGTTCTGTGTTGGCGTAAAAGGCATGGCATGTATATTTTCCTCCTTGATTTTGTGTCAGCTTCGAGAAAATCAAAACGGCTCCAGGTTCTCCCGGTAAATTCTGAAAAACAAACAAGAAAGTGTGACTGTTATATAAATACACTTTTACTAATTTTCACATGTAATTTGAGATGATTCAAAACTGACGGATGGTTTGAAACGTCTTACTTTACATAACCAGTTGTGTAAAATAAAATATTTCATAGCTGGTGATGAAATATTCATTTCAACACCAGTTACGTGTAATTTATTTATTTATTTATTTATTCGAAATTTGGGATACTAACAGGTTGTTACCCATACAAGCATCCACTAATACAATCCGTTACAGAGCTAACATTCATTTCTTAACAAATACAAAAATACAAAAATACACCTAATAACATAGGAGGTATGAAAATGACAATCATAAATACGATACGGGAAAAATAGTAAACATTTTCATTAATGAATACTAATTACTCATCATCGTGATATTAGGAAATAAAAATATTTTTTGTAATTCTTTTAAAGGAATATAAAGATATGGAAAAAATGTTTACATCATTGCAATATTATTTGTTGGTATACCTCTGAGGAACATGGTAGGAAATCATCGACACTAATTTCGGTGAGTCATAACAGTTTGTTAATATTTTGAATATGATGAGTAAATCATTGATAATTCTTCGCTGTTCGAGAAGTTTTATCTTATAGTGGGTACGAATTTCACTAATACCTGTTATTACATACATATTAGTCATTTTAAAATGAAGGAACCTCACAAATCTATTCTGAAGCCAACGTACTTTATGAATGTCATAATAGGGGTTCCATATGATACTAGCAAAATTCAATTTGCTGAAAACTGCTAGTAAACTGATTTTATTGCCACCTCATTGTTGAAGTCCCTACACATTCTGCAAAAGAAACCTAAGGTTCTACTGCAGGTGTTGATTACATAGCCTAGATGTGGATTAAAGCTCATTTTAGAATGAAAATATACTCCAAGATCTTTGATTTGATCTACTCTATTTATTACAATAATCATTTATGGAGTATTGAAATTCAATCGGCGTACTGCTTTTGCTGAATGATATACAAGCACATTTTTTCAACATTTAGTTTCAATCTGTCGCGATTGCAATAAATTGAAAATTTTGATAGATCTTCTTGAATCTTCGTACAATCCTTAACAGAGGGGACTTTTCCAAAAATTTTCAAGTCATCCGCATATAAAAGTATATTGGATTGTTCAAAGCACCCTATCAAATCGTTAATGAAGACCGAGAACAACAACGGGCCAAGGTGTGAACCCTGTGGACCTCCTGAAGTGACCACAAACGGTGCTGACCTATATCCATTGAGATTCACGAGTTGGCTTCGATTGTGTAAATAGGATGATAACCATCTCAAGAGGTCTCCCTGCACACCGATTCCAGCAAGCTTCGAGATAAGGATGTTATGATCAACCTTATCAAAGGCCTTACCGAAATCAGTGTACAACGAGTCCACCTGTGCTTGATTGTCTAGTGCATTTGATATGTATTCTGAATAAATTATCAAGTTTGTTTCAATTGCACGCTTGAAGAAAAAACCGTGTTGGTGTTCTGAAATTGAAGACTTGAGACAATTAAATAGACTGTCATAGATAATACCTTCAAACAGTTTGCTGAAAATGGATAATTTGCTTATGCCACGATAATTATTCACTGAGTTTCTACTTCCAGAATTTTTGCAAATTGGAACTAACAAAGCAGTTTTCCAAACATCTGGAAAAGTACCAGACTTTTTTTATCGCTTGGAGCGCACGAAAGGGAATCCCTATAATGTTGACAGAACATCGTGAGTTCCTAGGGAGGATAGGGACAGGAGGTAGGTATTGGAATTTTTTTTGAACTTCTGGAGATTATATATATGTTGTTGGGTATATTTCCACAGGCAATGAATTCCAGAGCCTAGCCGTTCTATGGATGAAGGAGTCTTGATAAAGTGCTGTTCGACATCTTTCGAGGTTGACAACGAAAGGATGTGCTGACTGGGCTTGTCTAGTTCGTCTGACTGGTATTGCTAGTGAAGGGATAATAGCAGAGATTGCCGAAGAACATTTTTCGTGGAAGTATCGATAGAAAAGTGAGAGGTCGCCGACCTTTCTACGGTGTTCCAATGATGTCAAAGAGTGAGTGAGTGTGGCGTCACCCACCAGGCGAATGGCTCTTCTCTAGATGGAATCTAAGAGCATCAGTGTATGTTTTGATGCTGAACCCCATATGTGGAAACAGTATTCTAGAACAGGCCGTATCTGCGCTTTGTAGATCATGAGAAGCTGTTGAGGTGTAAAGTAGCTTTTCGCACGGAACAAGAATCCGAGTTTTTGTGAAGCAGCTTTCGCGATGGATCTGACATGATTATCTCATGAAAGAGTGTTGCTGATGGAAATACCCAGCATAGATATGGAGGGCTTGGTGGGGATGGTGGAGCTAGACATTACAATATCGGGCATACTGAGTTCCGCCTTTCTAGAGAAAATACAGGCTTGAGTTTTGGTGGCGTTGAATTCAACTAGGTTGTTGGTTCCCCAGGCTGTGATTTCAGCAAGATCTTCATTGACAGCATTGACCTGCCTGCGCCGTGAGTTCTTAGTTTCCTGGGAAGAAATGGGAATTCTGGAAGAGAACGCAGTATGGAGGGTACTATCATCTGCAAAACTGTGGATGGGGCAAGTTGCTACTCCCAACAGATCATTGATATGAAGAAGGAATAATGTTGGTGCCAAAATTGATCCTTGTGGAACGCCGGAATTGATGCCAAAGGTATCAGACGATACACCGTCCACCACCACGTGAAGCGATCTGCCTGAAAGAAAACTCGATAAGAGATGGCATAGTTGGGGTGGTAAGCCGTATGATGGTAGTTTTTTGGAGGAGTCCTTCGTGCCAAACACGGTCGAATGCTTTCGATATGTCCAACGCGACAGCTAGAGATTCCCTGTGTTTTTCTGATGAAGCTTGCCATAAATGGGTGACGTAGGCAAGTAGATCTCCAGTAGATCTTCGGTGGCGAAAGCCGTATTGTCTATCATTGATGATTCCTGAGCTCTCCAGATATTTGATAAACTCAATATTGATGGCTTTCTCCATCACTTTGGAGATAACTGATGACAGGGCAATGGGCCTGTAGTTGTTGGTCAGGTTCTTGTTCCCTTTTTTGGGGATTGGTTGGACTCTAGCTGTCTTCCAGCATGATGGAAAAATACCCGACCTGTACGAGATGTTGAACAACTTGCAGAGAATCGGTGTTAATTCTGGTGCACATTTTTTGAGGATAATGGGTGGAATTCCATCAGGACCGTTAGCCTTATTCGTTTTGAGACCAAGCAAAATTCGTCTGATAGTGCGTTGACGGAAGACGATTTCGGGCATTCGACTCTCAACGGGTGGAATGTCTGGCAGCACTTTTCCTTGGGGATATTTGCTTTCTCCTGCGATGTTGTTGCTAATGTGCCGTCGGATTGCATGACTGCATGGATGTGTTGAATATAATGCATAAAGGTAAACATAAATGAATGAACGAAGAGATTAATACATTTTGTGCTGATGCGTCCTCGATATCACTCGGGAAATTCCAACTTCAATCAGCTATTCTCCAGTAATAAAAATATCAAGAGTCTATTCAGTGAATTTTGTTGCTGATTTGTGACAATATTTTTATTTGATTTCAAAGTGACGTGCAAAGTCAACTTCCTACTGAATTTTATTATTATCATTATTTTATTCAAAATTCATTATTCTCATCAAAAATTGAAATAATATTTCTCACATAATTCATGGACACAGGGTGACCAATAAGTTTAGTCACTGCTGAAACTCAGAATTCGAGGGTTCCAACGAATAGAAATAAAAATGACTATTTCTCAGGAAAGCAAAAAAACGATTCATGTTACAAACACTTAGGTCATTCGAGCAAATTTTCCCAGTTAACAAGGGGTGCATATTTGACAATGACAATTCAGATTCACAATGTGCTAACAATTTTGGGTTGGAGTGCCCTTGTTATGGAGAGTATTTCACAAATTGCATGATTGAATAATCAAATAATGTTTCATGAATCTCTGCAACTTCGAATGCTTCTCAAATTGTCACGAATGGAAGGACCCATGAAATATTATCATAATCAAATTATCATTCTCAAGATCCTCGAACACCAATCCAGTTTACCAAATTGAATATTTCCGATCGATTACAGTTCATATTCCTACAAAGTCCTTCAAAGTTATAATATTTTATAATAATTGTAATAATTGAGCAATATTGACAGGTAGCGTAATTTACAATACTAAGTTGAGCACCTATTTCAGAATAAAAAGTAGAGGTGGCGAAAAATCAGAACTTTTTAAGATTTCTGGCGACGCTGAATAGATGATTACAACACGTACGCCGAAATTACATAATTACACAATTACATAATTGATTAATCAAAAAATGTTCCATGAATCTCTGCAAATTCAAATGCTTCTCAAATTATCACGAATGGAAGGATCCATTAAATATAATCATAATCAAATCCATCCATCCTTCCAATTGTATCCAAACTCTTAGAGAAAATCGTGTACAAGCAACTCTACGATTACTGTAATTCAAACTACATCATTCCCTTTCAGCAGTCAGGGTTCATAGGGGGATACAGCACTGCCACGGCAATGCTAAATATATGTGATGATATCATCAGAGCATGGATTTATCATGAAGTAACAGCCTTGGTTATGTTAGATTTCACAAAAGCTTTTGAAACTCTAAACTACCAACTTTTAATTTCTAAGCTGAAATATTATGGGTTGAACTTGATAGCACAAAATTTCTTCTAAACCTATACTTGAGTGGAAGAAGGCAAATAGTTGAGAATAATAATAGTGAATCTCAATTCCTCAAATTGCATAATGATGTACCTCAGGGATCAATTCTGGGACCACTTTCATTCCTTATATATACTGCTGAATTATCTAATTGCCTGTGAGACTGTAAAAGCCATTTCTATGCTGATGATAGCCAATTATATCATAGTTTTCATCCCGAAGATGCCTATTTAGCAAACGATTTCGTTAACAAAGATTTACATAGAATTATCAACCTCTTAAGGCGACATAATCATCATATCGATCCCACAAAATCCACTAACCTATTATTTGTCAATGAATGTCGAATTAATCGGGTGAAGAATGATATCAACATAGTCTCAGGAGGTGTAATTTTAACACTAGTATCAGCAACCAAAAATTTGGGTTTAATTATTGACTCTAATGTGAAATTCACGGAACATGTCAGCAAATCTATTCATCGTGCTAACGGGTGTCTTAAATTACTGTACTCAAGTCGACGATTACTATCTTGATTTAAAAAAAAAAGTGTGATCAACTATTTTAATCTCATTCCAACTATTGCGATATAGTATATGGTCCATGTTATTATATAGACTCCTTTGATTATGTTGAAAATGCAAAACAACTGCACTAGACTGATATGGGGCTTGCGTCAATCTGATCATATCACTTCGTCTTTTCCATGCCACTAATGCTTTCTATGAGATTATCAATGAGCACCGTCCCTACTACCTTTTTGAAAAAATAAAATTTCGTCATCAATTGCATAACCTCAATATAAGGAATCTTGCTACTGTGAACATCCCACACTACTACACCAGTAAATTTGAAGCATCTGTCTCCTACCAACTACTACTAATTTATAATGCTCAAGATGATAACGTTACAAATCTGAGTATCGAGTCATTCAGAATGAAGCTAAGAAATAAAATTCTTGATGAACAAAGAACACAATATACCTAGATGCACAGATTATTTCTACTTCATTTTATATTTCCACAACTCAGAAATTAACAGAGTGAAGAGTTACATTAGGAAAATAAATTATATTCAGTTTGATCCCTTGGGAAATATCTTGTAATACCTATACTTATTATACATATATTATGCACTTAGGTTGAAGTGTAAAATAGCACTTTGTAGCTGAACTTTCGCCTCATAAAGTCCTATCATTATTATTATTATTAAATTATCATTCTCAAGATTCTCAAACACCAATCCAGTTATCCAAATATATTTCCGTTCGTTTATGATTCATAGTCCTACATAGTCCAACAAAGTAATAATATATTTTTTGTATCGCTTAGAGCGCACGAAAGGAAACCCCTATAATGTTCAAAGAACATCGTGCGTTCCTAGGGAGGATAGGGATAGGAGGTAGGTATTGGAATATTCTTTGAACTTCTGGAGATCATATGTTGTTGGGAATACTTCCTCAGGCAATGAATTCCAGAGCCTAGCCGTTCTATGGATGAAGGAGTTTTGATAGAGTGCTGTTCGACATCTTTCGAGGTTGACAACGAAAGGATGTGCTGACTGGGCAATAAACAGGTAGCGTCATTCGAAATATTGAGTTAAGCACCTATTTCAAAATAAATAGTGGAGGTAGCAAAAAATCAGAACTTTTCTCGATTTTCGGCGTTGCTAAATAGGTGATTGAGACGCATACACCGAAAAGTAGTTTGTTTATTGAGAAGTTTATTATACAGGTTCATTATAAGTACCTACATCCAAGCCATAGCGCCTCATAATTGTCCAATTTTGAAAAAGGAAAAAGCAAATACAATGACTCATCCGATACTATGAACATGATCTGATCATCGAATTTTTCAGATTTCAGATGTAACGTCAGCGATTGTCGAATTGAACTATATAGTTGCCAATTTTTTTTCTGACCGAGACTTTTTTCTGAATACAGCGAAATATTATGATAAGTTACTATTTGGACAAAATAAGTCAAAATGAAAAATTAATACTCAGTTGACATGAAGTTTGGAGATTTATCATTAACACAAATGGAGAGAAACTCAGTCATTACAATACTTCATGAAATGACCGAAAATGGTAGATAACGTGGGAAAAAGAACATTGCATTACATCCTCCCGAAATCTATGCAATAATTCATATGGACGAATAAAATCGCAAGAGTTTTCTTCCTAAACGCCGAGCTGCGCCCAAGTGGTTCAGGAACGTGTTACTACCTGCAGACCGGTTTCGAGCTGTTGGCTCTCATTAGTACAGGGCTGTCCCAGATAGCTTCTTGACCGCTATCTGATGCGAACGCGCACACACACACACACACACACCACGCCCCCGAAAGGTTGAATGCCCAGGATCAAGTGCCGCCATATAACTAGCTCACGTTATATGATAGCTCCTCATCCCCATGTCCATCCACCCCCACTCACTAACGAGTGGACTTCAACCTTATGCATTTGGCAATCTGCATATGTTTTATAAAACCCCTTACTTGGTTGCAGTCTTCCGACTTTTAAACCTTTTTGTCTAATGTGTGTTTCCTAGCCTGACTTTGCGTGGTGGTTCCCTACCCTGATGGAAAGCAAATTTGAGGTCATGTATTATTATTATTGGTTTACATTTTCATAGGGTATCAAAAAAGAGACTCTTCTGTTCAATTATCTGATGATTATTATGCAACTTTTATTGATATTGATTTACTTTCGTTTGTTTATCTTATATTTGGTGAATTGGGTGCCTGTACTTTATTCTTCCGAAGCGCGGCTCTTGATTCTGACCGAACGTAAACACATCTCAGCATTTATAACACAGGAGGCGTTCAACGTCCGCTTTTTCCTGAAATGGGATCTTGTTTTGGAGTGTTTCTTTCCTTGCCAGGTGGCGTTCGGCTTTCGCGTTTCATTTCGCGGACGTTGAACGCCTCGTGGGGTATAAATATGAAGGATATATACATATTACCTACTCTGACGATAGCTATTTTGCATTTGCTCCAATAGGGAGAACGTTTTCCAAAATTCTCCATGCTAACTAACAAAACGTCATACATTTTTTGTTTTGGCGAATGCGCACTCATTGATTCATTATTTTGCTAGATTTGGCGGATTCGCATAGTGGCGAATTGAGACGTTTAACAGACTGAGGCGCTATACAGTGACTGCATTCAACCTCAGTCACGACAATGATATTATGTCATCTTGTCTATTGGTCGATAGAAAACCCTCATGATTAGGCAACATCCAAGGCGAATTTGAATGATTTGAACTTTGTGGTGAGAATAGTAGTGTTTTTCTGTGGTTTCGCTGTTTTTTTCTCATGCAGTATTATTTTCCATTTGATCAAATATTTCAACAGAACATAATATTGGCGAAATAGGAGATACTTTTATAATTCATAATAATAATGATATGTAATTAGAAATCAGCCTCCGCCATGTTTAGGCAAATTCCGAGGCTTTAAATGATTTGAATTTTGTGACGGAAATAGTAGTGTTTTTCTGTGGTTTTGTTCATTTTTCTAATGTAGCATTATTTTTCATTCGATCAAATATGTAGAAGAAAATTTTGCTCAGCTAGGGAATATTTTTTAGAATCTTGTTTTCTCCTGATTCATTCATTTTTTAAATATTATCAACCTGTATATTTGTAAGTTGCATATTTAATAAGACTAGAAAATCAAGTACATACAGTGAACAGATTTGCAATGACTACCGAATGGAGACAGATTGGGTAATTGAATAAGTTATGTGAAAGCTTCTAGAAGCCTCTTATTAGACTTTGTATATGCAGGATGGATTCCCGATGATTGAATATGATACATTCTCTATAGCTCCAGCTACCCCATGTGAATAATAAGCTATTGAATACTAAACATAAAAAGGAATAATCTGAATGGGAAAGCAGTGACTTGGAACAGCTTGAAATTATACTTAAAGCATGTGTTCAGAAAATTTACAATTTTCAGTGTATGTGGTTGAAGTGAAGTGAAAAAACTACCCATTAATAAAAAAAACTTATAAAATTTGAATAGTGTAGGCATATTGTCAGTCAGAATTTCAGTTGGATGTTTTGTTTTTATAAAAATGTCAGTGATTTGGATTTGCTGTGTTTTGACTATGATTTTGACTACTGCTGAGATTTGAATATTTCTGAATTATCTTTATTCCCTTTCAACCTCGACCTGCCAGAAGGCAGAAATCATTCAGTCCGTGAAGCATATTCGAAGCATATTATCATATATTGTGGAAGAATATCACATACTTGAACGATAGCTATTTTAAATTCGTTTCAATAGGGAAAACCTTTTCCAAAAATTCTCAACGCTTACTAACAAAACGTCATAATTTTTTCGTTTTGGCGAATGCGAACACTCATTATTTCGCTAGATTTGGCGGATTCGCAACTTAATAAATTGGTGATTACAATGCGTACACCAAAATTTAGTATATTTTTTTAGAAGTTTATTATGATGGTTTCATTGACAAAAGATTAAAGAAATTACAATACTGAAAAAACAGATAATTACCATGGAAAAAACAGCTTATGCAACTCAATATTGAATTTCCAATATGTCTGACATATTTTGGTCATCAATTAGAATCAACTTTACGCTGTTTACTCACGTTGAATAGATGAAAAATAAATTACTCGCTGTCAGGTTGGTTATAACAATAACGTCATACAGAATATGTTCAGATAACATTATATCCAATGTTTTCATCTCTTGGAGCGCACGAAAGGTAATTCCTATAATGTTCGAAGAACATCGTGCGCACCTAGGGAGGATAGGGAGAGAAGGTAGGTGTTGAAATATTTTTAATGTTTGGAGGTTATAAGTTCTTGAGAATACTTCAAGTGGCAAAGAAAACCAAAGCTTTGCCGTTCTATAGAGGAACAAGTTTTGATAAAGTGTTGCTCGACCAAAAACTTGGTTATTTGAATTGTCAACATAAATTTTGTGGTTATGTGAAAAAAGTGTGAATATTAAACTTAGAGGTCTTTTCATGACCTACAACTTTGCTATTTATTGCCAGATAAACGGTTTTTTCACCCTTGAAAACTCACCCCCTCAGGAAGTGACCTCAGATCGCCCGTAATTCCTTTTCCCTTTCATCTTTGTTATATTATCTTTCTTTCCCAATGGGTTTCATCCTACCATAATTTTTTACCGTTTCCAGCGTCTTCGGCACTGGTCTATCCGATCCTGATGTCATTATAAATCTCACCTGGACATAAATGGGACTGGCTCGATTCGTGGTGTCTATCCTCCTGTCGAGCGGATCTCTCCACTCCAGTTGCGTCACCAGACCGGGGTCGGGAACGTTGGGTCGGCACGTCAGGGCTAAGCTGCCGTCCACTTCTTTCGTGACGACTCTTTGATTAGGCTGAATTTCCAGACTCGGCTGCTGGGCGCTCGATCCTGAAACGATAGAATGCCAGTTCGATGAGATCGTTGGAAACGAATCACGTATACACCGAGAAGTGGAGCAATGTTTGCCAGGAAGTTGGCACTAGATTTATAACTCCGAAACTTCGTTAGAGGTAGAAAAACATCGCGAGAAGTCTTCTTTGGCTCAGGTGATATAATTTATATGCACATGACATTCCTTCATCAACTCCATTGATTTGATTGAACTGATTCGAGATTCTGTCGGCATTTGAAATTGAATGAGGATGCATCGTTGAATACTGCTCCCAAAGCCCTGATATATATTATATGTATACAAGATTGGGCATTCAATAAGGACACATATTGGTAGGTATACAGGGTGCCTGGAAAGGTCATGTCGTGAATAATAGGGCTGATAGAATGGGCCAAAATATTGTTAGTACTTCATATATCATTCTCCCTTCGTAACGGATTTATTGCACTTGAAAGTTTCTGCAACTCCATACATATATAGGGTGCATATGTGCATATTCATCATTATTCAACTCATCCAACCTCACCAGAGTATTAAATACTATGAAAATCACTTGATTGAACCTTTAACTACACTTTTCAACGCCTGCATTGGGGAAGGTCGATTTCCTGATGCTCTCAAAATATCCAGAGTTCTTCCCATTTACAAAAAAGGTGATGTCACAAATATTGAAAACTTCCGCCCAATTTCGATAGTTCCACTTTTCGGTAAAATATTCGAGATTATTTTAAAAAATCTTCTGTATAATTATTTCCATAGAAACAACTTGTTGAACCCAAATCAATTCGGATTCAGGACGTCGACATCAACAGTGCATGCTCTGAGGAAGGTAGTTGATGATATCATTGAGGGTTTCGAAAAGGATCATCATACTGCAGCTGCTCTGTGTGACCTGACCAAAGCTTTCGATTGTGTGTCCCATTCCATTCTCATCAGAAAACTCGAGGAGTATGGTATTAGAGGAGTACCCCTCTCCCTTTTCTCATCCTATTTAACAAATAGACAACAATGTGTTGTAATAGACTCAAATAACGTATCTGATTTTGAATTAATAGCATGTGGGGTTCCACAAGGCTCTGTACTAGGCCCTCTCCTATTCATTATCTATGTAAATGACCTATTTTCATATATGTGCCCTTATGGATGTATTGCATTTGCGGACGATACAACTCTCACCAGCTCCAGTGAAAATACAATTGGTTCGTTAGCAAATATAAATCTGGCTCAAGCTAAAGCGGAAACTTGCTTTAAAAGTAATAATCTTAAGTTGAATAAAAGTAAAACACAACATATATTATTTTCTATGAACAACTCAACAGCATTTGGTGATACCGTCAAACTGTTAGGTGTTACACTGGACGACAGATTAAACTGGTCAGGTCACACAGAGCAGCTGTGTACAAATATTTCAAAATACTTATTTTTACTCCGTAAACTGAAGACTATCATTAGTTTGCAGGTTCTATTATCAGCTTATTATGCTTTCTTCCATTCACGAATCTCATATGGTATATTACTGTGGGGAAATAGCGTGAAAGCTAACGAAGTTTTCTTGTTACAAAAAAAAGCAGTGAGGATAATCTGTGGGTCAGGGTTTACCGATTCCTGTAGACCACTTTTCCTGGAACTCAGTATCATGACTTTACCATCCATATATATCTATCAATCTATTTTAGAAATACATAAAAATAAGAATAATCATGAAAAGAATGCTGATTTCCATACTTACAACACTAGAGGCTCTCAATTGATAAGACCATCTAAATTCAGATTACAAAAATCAAGTAGAAACTCTCTCAATGTAAATCTTTACGATATACTACCCACTTACGTCAAAGCTCTGAGTGTCAAAAGTTTCAAAAAACACATGCACTCATATTTGACCTCCAATGTATTTTATACTACTGGAGAATATATAGCGGCCCTAACATCCACAACAAAATAAATAACCATGGGGTATATTATTCCTGGTGCATTATCTTTTATAAATTACTTTTTACACTACATTTCACTCAGTTTTTATCATTGATTATACATCATATTGTTCTCGTATGTTTGTATGCACACTTTTTTTTTAGTTTTTAATTTTTAATTTTTAACTTCATCTGTAAATCTCTAGTCTTAACCACTAGTTTTTGTAATATTCATAACTTATGTATATGTGACGTATCTTATTTGTATTCTTATGAATGCACCTAAAAGACAAATAAAATATCTATCTATCTATCTATCTATCTATCTATCTATCTATCTATCTATCTATCTATCTATCTATCTATCACTTACGATACCGTCAAACTGTTAGGTGTTACACTGGACGACAGATTAAACTGGTCAGGTCACACAGAGCAGCTGTGTACAAATATTTCAAAATACTTATTTTTACTCCGTAAACTGAAGACTATCATTAGTTTGCAGGTTCTATTATCAGCTTATTATGCTTTCTTCCATTCACGAATCTCATATGGTATATTACTGTGGGGAAATAGCGTGAAAGCTAACGAAGTTTTCTTGTTACAAAAAAAAGCAGTGAGGATAATCTGTGGGTCAGGGTTTACCGATTCCTGTAGACCACTTTTCCTGGAACTCAGTATCATGACTTTACCATCCATATATATCTATCAATCTATTTTAGAAATACATAAAAACAAGAATAATCATGAAAAGAATGCTGATTTCCATACTTACAACACTAGAGGCTCTCAATTGATAAGACCATCTAAATTCAGATTACAAAAATCAAGTAGAAACTCTCTCAATGTAAATCTTTACAATATACTACCCACTTACGTCAAAGCTCTGAGTGTCAAAAGTTTCAAAAAACACATGCACTCATATTTGACCTCCAATGTATTTTATACTACTGGAGAATATATAGCGGCCCTAACATCCACAACAAAATAAATAACCATGGGGTATATTATTCCTGGTGCATTATCTTTTATAAATTACTTTTTACACTACATTTTACTCAGTTTTTATCATTGATTATACATCATATTGTTCTCGTATGTTTTCATGCACACTTTTTTTTTAGTTTTTAATTTTCAATTTTTAACTTCATCTGTAAATCTCTAGTCTTAGCCACTAGTTTTTGTAATATTCATAACTTATGTATATGTGACGTATCTTATTTGTATTCTTATGAATGCACCTAAAAGACAAATAAAATATCTATCTATCTATCTATCTATCTATCTATCTATCTATCTATCTATCTATCTATCTATCTATCTATCTATCTATCTATCTATCTATCTATCTATCTATCTATCTATCTATCTATCTATCTATCTATCTATCTATCTATCACTTACGTGAGCTATTGTCAAAGGAGCAACATCATTTTTTTTGCAAATCAAAAGAGGAGTCCCGTTGTACCTTGCTATAAAAACCTTTCGATTCTCTATCCAAAACCGCTTCGTTTGTGCAAATCGGCCAAGCCGTTTCAAAATGACATAAATTTCAAGTATACCTCGGAAACAACAAATAACGTTCGGATTGAAGTGGCGTTGGATAGAGAATCGGAAGGCCTTCGAACAAAGTACCAGGTGACCTCGCAGACTCCTCTTTACAATTGAAAAAAGAGTTGATGGTGCTCTCTTGATACTAGGTCACGTGACCACAACAATTTTCATATATCGAAGACTGGAAATTTTGCAACGATAATACACTACACACTGTTTTACCACTAACCAAAACGATTATTTTATGCCTCGACACGTGTTTCGCTAACTATGTTAGCATCTTCAGGAGAAGATCAAACCTGAATGTTCTATCCTAGTGTGCTACTTATATACTAGGTATCCATCCAACCATGAAAGACACTAACCGACAAGTTCCATTATCCTCATTCATTATTGTATTACTATTCTTAAATATTTCTAAGCTTTCATATGCATCTAATTTCCTAACACTATTAACCTGTTTGACTAATTTGAGGTTATTGATATGTTTGTTATGATTGTGATTGAACATTTGTTAGGCTACACACGATTTATCTAACCTACCATATTTCGAATGTGCTGAGTGTTCATTGAACCTTGTTTTATGGGACGCCTGGTTTGGCTTATATACGTTTACGTAATGAAACGTATATCACAATCATTACAACTAACTTCGAATATTCCTGACTTTTCAAGTGTGTCCACCTCATCTTTTGGATTACCAAATGAATTGCATAATTTTCACCCGGACTGATAAACGCTTTCAAAATCTAAGTCTTCATCAAGTCCTCTCTTGTACTTGAAATTGAACGGGGTGAAAATTCTCCTTAAATTGTATTGTTTTTTGCTTCACAAGTCGTAGAATTCCGAAGTGTCAACTTGAATCTATGTCTACGTATTAATTTATCTACTATTTTGATATTATAGCCATTGAAGCTAGCCACTCCATGAACAACACTCCTTTCAACATCGAATCTTTGTTTGCTCAGAGAAAATGCAATTAGTCTATGAACTAGGAAATTTAATCTTGCCATTTTGCGTGAAAAGCAGTGATTGGAGTCATTAGTTATATATCTAAGTGTATTAGTTTCTTTTCTAAAAACATCAGATTCTACGTTGTTTTTGGCATTTTTGAATGGTTATTGACCGTTATTTTCCTATTCAAAAGTGAATTTGATAGAGGGGAAGCAATTATTCAAATGTGAAATTGAATTATCTATATCTGTGATATTCGTATTAAAAAAACAACAATATCGTCGACATATCTAATCCAAACCCAAGGGAAATACTGAAATTTTTAATTTGCATTCGTTTCAAACCGATTCATGAACAGTTCCGCTTAGAAAGGTGAAAACAACCATTTTCATGCCATCTTTTTACCTGAAGTATGCCCAACCTCGCTAGCTTATTCCGTTCAAAAGTTGAAGGGGGTGGACTTTTCACGTCCTCAATCTATGTATACTTTTACAAGGATTTGATGAATGGTCGTATAGCATAGAAGTGGCCACTACGATGAAGCTACGACTATTTTAAGTGACCCTGTGTTTACAAATT